GAGCTCCACCCCTACACACCTCCCTACCACTGAGCTCCGCCCCTACACACCTCTCTACCACTGAGCTCCACCCCTAGTCTCTTTTTTTACTTTTAGAGACAGAGTCTTGATGAGTTTTGCAGGCCAGCCTTGAATTTGTAATCATCCCGCCTCTACCTCCCGAGCAGCCAGGATTATAGCTCTTCAAATTCACTTCCCTAGAAGTCTTTGCTCAGTTTAACAGTGAAATGAATGTACTATGGAAAGGCACACCTATGTTCCCACAGAGGAGGATGGACTCTGTGACTTTTGCATGCCTAATAATCAAAATTTTGTTAAAACAAAAACCCATCATGTGCTAAGAATGCACACACAGGCATGTGTTCCTATAGTACATTTAACTTATCTGAAGGGTGCCCAGCACACATCATGTGCCAAGAACGCATACACAAAGTTTCCTGTAGTACATTTAACATATCTGAAGGGTGCCCAGCACACAAGTTGTCATCCTGTGCCCATCTGTGGGATGGACACCCTGGGATGTACTAGAGTGTCTCGGATCAGGGAAGTGGTCACCATGGGTGTGATGAGGCTCCATGTCACCCTGAAGACACCAGATGACCTCCTCCTTCATTTGATTAGTTCATCGACTTATGAAGAAATACCATGACACTTGAACATGCACACCATTGTCACATGGGTGGCCTTACCCCACTAGCAGACTTCTGGTAGACCGAATTATTACTGAGAAACTTTTCTTAAAGCCCCCTAAGGCCAGGCCCGACGGACCGCACTGGGGGAGTTATCCACAATCCTCCTACAAAAAAGCATCTGCTTTTTTCCCCCCAGCTATCTCCCAATCAAAATCATCTGTTGGACAGCCTGACCCTGGAGCTCCAGGATGTCATCACGCATGCCAGAATCACCATCACCCCAGATGGGGGCATAAGCCGCCTTCGGCTCAAGGGCTACCCCAGTTCCATCTGTTTGCTGCGGCCCCTCCGGGAGAAGCCCATGCTGAGGTTCTCTCTGGGCTTCAGGGCAAATCTTTAAACAGCGCATCCACGGTAGTCATCGTCCACCCACTGTCCTCAGTGTTCCAAACACCTGGTGGTTCAATAAAGCGATCACCCAACCCACGGGTCTGTGTCTCCAGCTGCCACCCAGTTGGGAGCTTAAAAACTGGCCATGGCTAGGAATGGCCGATAGCCTCCTGAAGAAGCACTTTTTTTTTTTTTTTTTTTGAAAAACACTACAAAACGGTGATTGTTGAAAGTAACCAATTTTCTGCACTGCTTGTGGGTAGATTCAACAGGTGATTCGTGCCCTACGGCTTTGAGAGCTTACTCAGGCACGGGAAGGCCTTTGGGAAAGTATTTCTAGAATCATCTATTCAAGAGATAACGGGGCCTCTCTTTACCCTTCAGAATAGAGATGACTTTACCAAGGCGCCCCCCCCCCCCCAATCTGTTGTGTATCCCAAAAGGCCACACATTCGGAGTGCTGGGTACTGGTGGCCGCTGCGGCAGCCAGTCCTCAGGTAGTGTAGTGCTGAGCCTGGAGTCCTACAGAGGCTCGGAGGGTGGCATGCTTCCAGCAACCCCCGGCATTAGCGGTCAAATGGCTCTGGAGTGCAGGGCAGTGGCATGCTGGGAGGTTGGATGGGCGCTCCTGGCCCGGCAACCGCCTTTCCCCCTTTCTCTTCTTCCCTGAGCCCCATCACTTTACCTGTCTGGTGCCTGAAGCGCGTGTGCTCTCTCCCTCCCTCCCTCCCTCCCTCCCTCCCTCCCTTCCTCCCTTCCTCCTCCCTCTCTCCCTCTCTCCCTCTCTCCCTCTTCTTCTCTCCCCCTGTCCCTCCCCCCTCCACCTCTTCCCCTTCCTATCTGTTCCCCTTACTCCCTCGAACTTACAGAGATCTTCCTGTCTCTTTCTCCCAAGTACTGGAATTAGAGGCAAGCACCACCTCACCAGGCTCTTCCTCTGCTTCCTGCATTCTTCCAGACCTGGTTCTGGGTGTCATACCCCTCCCAGGTCTGTGTTCTCACCTGTGGGGGCTTCTCTGTTTCATGCCTATGAACTCTCTGAGTTTCCCGCTGCTCCCATCTTTTTTTTTTTTTTTTCTTTTCTGTCCTCGCCTGTCTGTGTTCTCAACCCTCTCTGCATCCTTCATGTCCTTGGTCAGTCGCCCCTGGCCTGCCTGGCTCTCTGTCGCCCCTCCGCCCGCTGCCAGCCCAGTCACAATCGCTCCAGGACGTCAGCGTGTGCTGCAGGTTCACGGCCCACTGGCCTGGCAGCCCAGTCCCGCCTGTGGCCCGCAGCCCCAGGGAGCCCGTGGGTTCTCGGCGGGTGTGCTGGGTGTCCCCCGCCCCGTGCACGGTTCTGCGTGTCCCGACGTGAGCGAGCAGTGGCCATGGGCACACGCGGGCCCTATGCGCTGGTGGACACCACGCCGGCCAAGACCATCTTGGTGTACCGCAACGGGGACCAGTTCTACGTGGGCCGCAAGTTTGTGTTCTCGCGGCGCCGCGTCGCCAACTTCGAGGCTCTGCTGGAGCAGTTGACGGAGCAGGTGGACGTGCCCTTCGGCGTGCGGAGGCTCTACACGCCCACGCGCGGCCACCAGGTGCTAGAGCTGGACGCGTTGCAGGCCGGTGGCAAGTACGTGGCTGCGGGCCGCGAGCGCTTCAAGAAACTGGAGTAAGTGCAGCCTCTGAGATCACTTCCCACCCAGGCCTCTCTACAGCAGCACACCCCAGCCAGCTCTCCGCAACATAGCATACCTCACCCAGCTCTCAGGAGCAGCACACCCCATCCAGGGCCTCATCCAGGGTGCCTGGCAGCAGGAACCGATGTCCCTGGTAGCAACAGGCTACACACAGAACGTGGGGTTCAGAGAATCCAAGTGAGGGCGGCAGCTAAGGGGTACAGATTAGTTTGCATGACTCTGGCACTTTTTTTTTTTTTTTTTGGTTTTTTCGAGACAGGGTTTCTCTGTGTAGCTTTGCGCCTTTCCTGGAGCTCACTTGGTAGTCCAGGCTGGCCTCGAACTCACAGAGATCTGCCAGCCTCTGCCTCCCAAGTGCTGGGATTAAAGGCGTGCGCCACCACGCCCGGCTCGACTTTGGCACTTTTATTGCTGTGGAATAGATGCGTGATATCTGCGGGTGAGTTCAGCAACAGAGAAACAATTAGGCTTCATTTTCTTCATCTTTAATGGCATGTGAAGTCGGGCTCCAGCCTGCTCAATAAAACTATGAATCACTTCTGCACCGGCATCACTAAGGTGCACTGGCCTTAGAGTCTGTAACTGCTGAGCCCCCGAGCAGTTATGAGTCACCAGATAATAAGATTATAATTGTGTCATTAGCAGTCTTGGGGTTTCCCTCCAATGATGACCAGGGAGGGGCCTGTGGCTTGAAAGGTTTTCACAGAGCAGCTTGCTGGGTTACAGTTGTGAATGTGCTGCTTAAGTCAAGCCTTCCTGGTTCTGCCTTGTCATACCTATCAAGGCCTGGGGGTGGGGAGAAGGTGTGGCAGGCCATGGCAGGCGGTGGGAGGGAGACAGTCAAGGTCCAGGGAGTGGGCAAGGACCCCCTCTGAGTGGAACTGAATCCAGGCATCCCTGCCTGAGCAACTTTGGGCAAACGAGATCCACTCAGAGTTCACAGTCTCGTCAGTAAATCAGGTGGTGTCCACCTCACAGCACCACACAGGGGTTAACTAAATGCCCTTCTTCAAGGTGCCTGCACCCAGGGCCACTTGACATCTTCCTCTTCCTCTGGAAATGCCAAGGAAGTTGCTCAGTGACCACCAGCCCCAGAAGAAGGAAGTCTGCTGCAGGTTTCACATATACCATTTAACCGCCCTGCTGGCTGGATCCTGCTCTCTCTGGTCTGTTTCTATATCCTCGGGAGTGCAACACCAAATAGCACACAGCACTTTGTGATTTTGTGCCTTAATTTTCTGAATTCATGTTTTGTAAAATGTAATGGTTGTCTCCTTTGGGAGACTACTGTTTATGAGAAAACACGAAAACAAGGATCTTAGAGCTGACTAGCAATATGAACTTGGAAAAATGGAGAGTATGAGGAGGTTAGGAAGGTTGAAGGACAGGCAGATGGCGGGAGTCAGTGAGGGGCAGAGTCCTAGGGTGAATATCCGCAGGCTGAGCTTTGCCTGGTCTGGATAAGTTTCAAAGATCAGAGCACAAACATTTTTTGCTTGCTTTTTTTTTTTTTTTTTTTTTTTGGTGTTTCAAGACAGAGTTTCTCTGTGTAGTTTTGGTGCCTGTCCTGTAACTTGCTCTGTAGATCAGGCTGGCTTGGAACTCACAGAGATCCGCCTGCTTCTGCCTCCCAAGTGCTGGGATTAAAGGCGTGGCCTCCTTGCACAGGGCCCTGGTTTGTTTCTCAGAACTTAAGTGGTGGCTCACAATTACCTACAGCTCCAATTCTGGCCTCTGAGGGCACGGGACATGCACGTGGTACACATCCATACATGCATGCAGGCAGACACTCATGCATATACATGACATAAACAACCACCACAAAGACCGAGGTCCTGTCCACCCTAGACAAGGACATGGTGACTGTACCCATGGCTCCCCTGTTGCTCCCTTGTCGGGGGCCATCTTTCTCTAGCCACTCTGTGAGGGTCAGGCTTAGTGACCTGACTCTGTGCCGAATACTTACTTCTTTTTCCTCCATCTACCAGCCCTAAGTTAATCCTTCCCTGCATAGGGTTAAAACTATACAGATCGGCAGCAATGGAAGACACCTTTTTTTTTTTTTTTTTTTTTTTAAGAAAGAAGGAGTCTTAAGATACCAATCTTAGGCTAGTCCGTATTATCATTTAAAACATGCTTTATTCTGTGGGAACATAGAAGACTCTTTGAAAGTTCTAAGGGCCAAAAGCTGTCGCAAAATGAGGACATCTGTTAAGCCCCATGGACGAGTGTAGGTAGTCTTATTTTCAGACTTTGGGTTCTACTCTGATGCTGGCCTGCAGTGGAGTCCCATCACAGCACTAGTAACCCTAACTAGATAAACTGGCAACAGGATCATGAGGTATTGCTGTGACAGACTTGACTGTGTGTTTTTGGGAGGACTGTAGAAGGATTTTGAAACTTTGGGTAAGAAGAACCATTGAGTGTTCAAAACCTGGTGAACTGTTCTGTGGGAGCTTGGAGGATAATGTTGAGAGCAGTGTAGATGATGGAAGCCTGGCTGGTGAAGTTCCAGAGGGAAGTTGAGAGTCACTTAAATACTCTATCAGGGCTGTTTGCTATTTGACTTGAGAATCTGTGGTTTTGGTCAGCTGGGGCTGGAGAATAAGCTGAGTTTAACAAGAGACCAGAACCATTGAAGTAAAACATTTGCTTTGCTGGAACAATTGATGCTGCTTAGCTGAGGCTAAGAAGTTAGCAATGATTAAGAAAAGACCAGCGTCCAGGTGAACTCTTCTGGGAAGTGTTTCCTCAGAGACAGCACACAGCAACTGTGTTACTGAGGTGGCCAAGGTTGTACCTTGCACAGACAGCTGGACTTGGTCATGTGTAAGAGTCACCCAGGTGGTGCTGGTTTTGAAGGCGTGAAGGGGTCATGGAGAGCAGTTGAGGCTTGGCACTGTGAGAGGCCAGGAGAGGCCATTGGTGAAGGTGCAGCTCAGTTTCAGCAGAAGACCCCAGCATTTTGGAGATGCTATTATCAGATGACTGCTAAGAACAGCAGCAGCTGTGGTGGAGTGGAGCCTTCCTGAACCTAGAAGACAGGCTGTGTGTGTTATAGAGGACAGAGCTATAGAAGTGACCCAGGCCCTTTGGAGGAGTCCAGGAGATCATGAATGAATCCTAGTATTGGTAACCACCGAGTGATTGTTAGGTAGGAGGCAGGTTTCTAGCTCCAAGGCTGCACTCAAGGGAGGGTGATGTTTGATGACATCTACTTTGCAGCACAGTCTTGCTACCTGCTCTGAGTTTGCTCTTCTATAAGTGGAGATGACCATGGTGCTTGTGCGTTGGTAATTCCAGAGTCAGTGGCAAGAGTATGACAAGTTCTAGAACAGCCTGGGCTACAGAGTCAAGCCATCTCAAAACAAACAACCACAATACAAAACAAAAACAAAAACCTGTAGACAGAGTTTTCCTGTCCCGACTGCCAGTTCCAAAATAACCACAAAGAGGCTTAATATTAATTATAAATGCTCAGCCAATAGCTCAGGCTTATTACTAACTAGCTTTTACAACTTAATCCATTTCTAATTAATCTATGTGCTGCCATGAGGCTTGTGGCTTTTACCCTTTGTCTCATTTTGTATGTCTGACTCATTCTGTGCTTGTCTGGCAAATCCTCTGACTCCGCCCTTCCTCTACCCAGCATTCTCCCTGTGTCAGGCTCTCTCACCCAATCTCTTCCTGCCCAGCCATCATCCAATCAGCTTTTTATTAACAATGAGAGCAATACATATTTACAGTGTACAAAGATTGTTCCACAGCAAAACTCAAATCCTAACCAACCAACCAACCAACCAACCAGTCAACCAACTAAACATTACCATCATCACCAAAAAGTCAGAAGGCTAGTGAATTACATCACTATTCCCTATTGTTTAAAAATATTTAATTAAATGTTTTAAATAAAAATATTTAAAATAGTTTTTAAAAGATTTATTTACTCAAAAAATGTGTATGAGTGTTTTGCCTGCATTTTGTGTATACCATGTTCATGCCTGGTACCTGTAAAGGCCAGATGAGGGCTCTTAGATCCTGTAAAACTCAGTAACAGATGGTTGTGAGCCACCATTTGGGTACTGGGAACTGAACCTGGAAGAGCAGTCAGTGCTCTTAACCACCAAGCCACCTCTCCAGCCTTAGACCATTATTTCTAAGGTCATTCCAATAAATACATGCATCTGAGGGAGAGACATGTCCCTGGAAAGAGTTCCCCAGGGCAAGGCTAGTTAACACAGCTGGGGGTGTCCCCAGCACACTGCAGTGGGTCAATTTCTGACTTGTGGGGTTGTCTGCTTCACTGCTGACACTGGCTGCCTGGGCAGAGGCTCCATGGGTCAGTGTGAATATTGTCTTTCTAATTTTGATTTCTCCTCTCTTTTTTTTTTGCAGCTATATTCATATAGTTCCCAGAAAACCTTCAAAGATGAAAAAGTTGAAGGAAGTAAGTGTTTGAGACTAATAAGATGAACTGAATTAGACCACGTTGGCTACAGGTTTATCAACTTTATTAGGTTTTCATGAGCCATCATCTGGCTTTACTGGTTTTCCCATTTCCCCAATTCCTATTTTATTATGTCTGTTTCAACTTGTATTCCCTTGTGTTGTGTAAGAAGGTGTCTCTTTGGGGGAACCTCTTTTACATCCCTTCTCTTTCTCTGCAGGATATACCATTCCTTCCCCAGGGATCTCTGTGCTGGATTGTGAGGGCTAATGACTTCTGAGTTTTTGTTAGAGCTGCTTCAGAGACAATGTCTTGGCTTAAGAGGACCAGTCAGGGTTTCCAGGTTTGGTGTCAGGCTGATGGGGAAGGTGCTTTGGATGGTCACTGGGCACACCATCATCCCCTCCAGTGTGACAGCTTGCTTGTTTTTTTCTTCTTTTCTGCTTCTGTCTGAAGACTTGGCTCCCTTCCCTCAGGCTGGCACAGAAGCTGCTGTGATCGCCAACCAAGCATGTAGTTGGACCATGGAGGGAAAGTGCTGGGTACCCGTGGTGAACACGCCTCTGATTAAACCTAGGTTGAATCCCTCTAGTCTTACTTTTCTCTTGCTCATCACTTTCTTCTCCACTCTGCCCACTTATTCTTTTCACAATGGCCATCATTAGAGCTCAGCAGGAGGTAATTATTACCAACCCAGGAACGGCTGGGTCTCATTTGCTATCCTTTTTTTTTTTTTTTTTTTTTTTTTATTAAGGGCATAATGGAAGAGGTTCTAAAGGGTGAACTCCCTCCAAGAACATTGTTGGCAGTGTGTGTGCATGTCTGTGTCTGTGTGTGCACGTGTGAGTGTGTGCACGTGTCCCTCAGCATGCATGTTCCTGCTGTTGGGAAAAGAGAGGCTTTGGCTGCTTGGTGATGATGATGGCGAGGGGGGCGCCATGTACTCCTGCTTCCTTCCTAGCCTCCCAGAGGGCACATTACAAAGCACATTAAATTGAATTAGTCATACAACTCATCATTAAAAAGTTGTCTCTGTGTGTGCACATTTGTGTGCATTAGTGAGGGCATGGGCATGCCGTGGCCCAGGTGACGGCATGGGTGCAGAGGTCAGGTGACAGCCTTCAGTGTCCCCACCTTCCACCTTATTTGAGGCAAGGCTTCTGAGCCTTTGTGAAAGCCAGGCTGGCTTTAGGGCTTCTGGAGGATTTTCTCATCTCCGACTTCCATATCCCGTTAGGAGCTCTGGGATTGCAGATGTGCACGCTACCTTCATCTAGCCTTTCTGAGGGCTCTGGGGGTTCAAACTCAGATCCTCACATGTGCACAGTAAATGCTCCACCCACTGAGCCACCTGCCCAGTCCCTTAACTGCTGAGCCATTTCTCCGGCCCGTGACCTTTCTTCTTTACACATGAGACAAAAGGGCCGGAGGATGTATCTCAGCTGGTAGACAACTTGCTTAGAATGTAGGAAGCCTGGAGTTTGAGTCACCAGGAGTGGGTTGGCACTCTAACCCTGGCACTCTGAAGGTGGAGGCAGGAGAATCTGGAGCCAAAACTATCCTCAGCTACATAGTGCATTTCCGGCCAGCCTGGGTTACATGAGACCCTGTCTCAAAACCAAAAAACAATCAACATTTTTACAAATAAAAACAAGAACTGTGCAGATCATGGCATGCTCCTTGAGGTACTCATGGTCTCTGGCACCCATGTGTCTTTGATATTAATTGGCTCACACAGTAGTTTAGGGACCTGATGTTCAATGGCAGAGATTTCTTCACGGACACCCCCACCCCCTTTCCACACATACACCGGAGCATAGAAGAGTTTATTGCTCATTAGCTGGTTTCTTTCTGGATGTGTTTATGTGAGGATGTCTCTCCTTGGTGTTGGAGTTATTTTGGTTTAGGCTTTGCATGGCAAGCAACGCTTGGATGTTTCCTGAAGGGGGACAGTGTGAGAACAGGTAAAGAACAGAGACTTTGTGGCACAATGACAACCATAAGCAACTGTCAGGTGAGCCCTCCCTTCACCTGTTCCAGGCGCTTGCCAAGGTGTGTTTTCCACCGGTACCTTTCACTCTGAAACCCGTGGCCTTGCGAAGGGTTTTGTTACTGTGACTGCATCACACACACAAAGAGCAGGCCGGGGAATGCTAAGCATCTCAGGCCCACATTACACTGTCAAGAGTCAGAGCCGTCCCAGGCGTCCCTGAACACTCGGCCAGCATGGTGCCGCATGGCTGTGAACTGTGAGGACATGCCTTGGGGTGGCTTTTCATGGACAAGATCCCTGATGCCGTGCACTCCTGGGGACATTGTGTGATCTGGTTCTCTGTCACTTGGCTATTTTGTGGGGTTGTTTTGGAAATTAGTTAGGCTGTTTTGTAGAGCTTACCACGGGGCTTAGAGCCAGGTGGTAACTGTATTACAGCTGCAGTGAGTCCTACTCCATGGTCGCCCTCAGGTCTCCATTCTAGGCTTAGTTTTACTACCCTGGGCAGTAGGTTTATAGCCCATTGGGCACTTCAGCCTCAGGCCGATGAGTGATGTGTGTGACTCATCAGATCTGGTAAGTATGAGTGACTGTCTCTCCCACCAGACAGTAAAGGCCACGTTTGTTAGACTCCTCTTAGGACATGATTACATGGAGTACAGGGAACAAGGATCCAGAATGTGTACTTAATAGCTGCAGTTATTTAATTAGGCAGGTGCTATTGGGGTTAATGAGTCATTAACACATCAGAAGAGCAATTAGCCCGTTGTTTCCATAGTTGTATGCAGTCAAGCAGAAAGCCCTTTCTAGGGTGTCTGTACCCAGTAGAATTTCTCAGAGTGCAGTTTCTGTTATTTTGTTTTCAGACCAGGTCTGTAAGTGCATGCCTGTTGCTGCTATCCACGGCATTTAGTTTTCTCACTGCAGTGTGAGGGTCACTTTATATGCAATATACAACAGAGCAATAGTGATGCACACACTTTCTGCAGCCTTCTCTGGTCTCATTCACTCTGGATCCCTTCCCCTACTGGCTACTAGTAGAGTTTCTGTGATTAGCAGAGTTGTGTATTCGTCCTGGTACCTTTCCCCCATCCACCGTCCATTCAGCTTCATGGGTAGTTACCACAGCCTCCTGGGGGGCTGCTCACTCACTACTCAGCTACAGAAAACTGCCTCTCCCTCCTCCACTAGTCAGAAACTGCCACTATCTCCTCAGCTAGGGGGTAGGGCCTCTTTAAGTCCCCTCTTCTCTGTGCTAGAGCCCTCAATGGCTTGCTCTTGTGCAGGTCATAGGCCAGGAACCACAGCTACCATGAGTTCATGAGTGGAATGTCCTTGTCAGGAGGATATTATTTTGCAGCAATATTCTTTGACTTTTAACTTTCACACTCCTTCCACCCTTCTTTCCAGAGACAGGGCAGTCCCTGGGGCTTGCTGACTGGTTAGTCTACAGCCAGTTGATGAGCTCCAGGTCCCAGCAAGAGACCCTCACTTTAAAAATCAAGGGGTGGGTGGGTGGTCCTGGGGAATGACACCAGAGGTTGACTTTGGCTTCCACATACATGCACATGGGCACCTGTATACTTGAGCAGGCACTACACATATGCACACACACACACACACACACACACACACACACACACACACACACGCACACACGCACATGCACTTGCGTGCATACACGAGGTTAGGGCAGCAAACAGGAAGAGCTAGGGGTGGACAGAGTGACTAGGAACAACTGGGGAACAAGAAACCAGGGCCCCACGTACAGCTCTGGGAGTTGACAGAGGAGCTGATAGTTCAGCTGAGAGGAGCCAGGCATGAGATGAGGCTGAGCATCCTCCAGTTTCACTGTTGCACAGATGGATCTTGGTGTTGTCTTCTAAGACGGTGAGTGTAAGTAACTGTTGCCACTCTGTGGATTTGGTCTTGGGTTTTGGCACCAAAATATAAGTGTGTTGCAACTCTGTGAGGCCAGCTTTGCAACTCTGGGGGAGAGGTATCCTGACTAGGGGAGTCAGGTGACACCTTGAGCTGCTAGGACAGCTCAGCCCTGGGGGGTGAGGTATTCTGACTGCTCTGGAGAGTCAGGCCTGGAGCTGCTAGGACAGCTCAGCAGGGAAGGAAATCCTGACTGTTCAGGAGTCAGGCTATACCTGGTGTGGTGGGGGATGGCCTCCCTGCAGGATATAGCAATCCTGCTCCCCTTCTGGAGAGCCCCCACTTAAGGGGGCTTCCTATCAGAGCTCTGCTTCTTCTCTGGCCTAAGATGTTGCTTCTTTTTTCTTCACTCTGCCAAAGGGGAAACCCCTGCAGAAATGTAGCCGTCGCCTCTGGCTTTGGAGAAATGGTTACTTTTCAGCTCCCCCTTGATCAGTCCTCTGAGGGACATCTCAGCAAGGTTTTTTTTTTTTCTGCTCAGTCTACTGTGGGACGTCTGTCTTAGCAATCTTCTTCTCTGTGCTGACAAAATAAGATCTTCACATCCAAAACTCTTTTGAGAAAGAGTTCCAAGGTGGAGAGAACAGCCCACAACTGACCAGGCAGGGCAGTTTATATAGGATGTCTTGGGGGTAGAGTCAAGCAGGGATTGGTTAGTTTTTTCTGCTCAGGGATTAGTCAGTTTTGTGGGTTAGGAGCAGAGATGGCTCTGATTTCAGAGCCAACTTGTGTTTGTTTCACTGGCCTTTCTTGGCTTTTTGACATTAATTCTAAGGCCAGGGCATATTTCTTTCACTGACTCTGATTCTAGGAACCAAGAGTGTTTCCGTGGTACTGGTTTCAGAGTCAGGGCATGTTTCCTTGGTTCTGGGTTTAGTGATTAAAGTGTTCCTTTCTCTGGCTCAGGTCCCAGACCTAGGCTGTGTTTCTTTCCCTGGTTCTTGGCTTCAGGGTCAGGGTGCTACTTTCCCGCTCTGTGATTGTTAGTTTCACTGGTCAGTTGGCTAGGATCAGAGATGGCTGTGATCTCAGAGCCAAACTGTGTTTCTTTCACTAGCCTTTCTTAGCTTTTTGACACTAATTCTAAGGCCAGGGCATATTTCTTCCACTGACTTTGATTCTAGGGTCCAAGAGTATTTCTTTGGTACTGGTTTCAGAGTCATGGCATGTTTCCTTGGTTCTGGGTTTAGGGATAAAGTGTTCCTTTTTTTTCTGGCTCAAGTTTTAGACCCAGGTTGTGTTTCTTTCCCTGGTTCTGGGCTCCAGGGTCAGGGCAGATTTCTTTAGCCAGCCTTTTCCCTAGAGTGAGGTCTGGAGTGGACATGTGTGGGTGATCAGCAATTCTGCTAGGACCCAAATAAGACTAAGACGTCTGAGGAGACACACCTCTCCTCCCCTGAGTATGGTAGTGGACTCTCACATTAACTTAATTTTAAGTACTTATAACAAATATGATTGATACTACATAGTGTCTTTTAGAAAACATTCTGCCATTTCATGGTCGTAAGAATTCTGTAAGATAGGCCATCTTCCCTGCAAAGAATTAGCAAACTGCTGCTTAGAGTGGCCAGTCACATAGCTGTGCTGACAGGGCTGGGATCTGACCTGAGCCATCCCACTCTCAGCCTGTGATTTCCTGCCTGTGATTCTGTGCTGAGATATGTCCTATTTTCTGCCTCCCGGCCATGTCTCTGTTCTGGCCACTGGTAGCCGATGGTACAGTGGGTGCCTCTGTGGTGTGTGTGTGTGTGTGTGTGTGTGTGTGTGTGTGTGTGTGTATGTATGTATGTATGTGTGTGTGGAGTAATGGGCTGACCCTTATTTCTCAGTCTCTGACTGTCTGTTACTCTCTTTGAAGAAAATCTGTTGGTGACTTTTTATTCATCTTGAGATGTTCAGACACACTCCCCGAATGAGCAGGCTATGTGCCATCTAGTGCTGGGCTGGGGAAGGCTTGGGAGGGAGAGATGTAAGGGTGGGACAGGCTCCCGAGTCCCCTTGCTGGACAGGCAGAGCAAAGCAGGGTCTGGGGACTGGCAGAGCAAGGGTATCAGTAGAGGTGATGTCCCCAGTCAGGTCTTAAGAGTCATATAGGAAGTGTGGGAGGGAGGTGTTTGCCAGACCAGGGTTCTTCTGTGCTTCTGTTGGATGTGGGTTGGGAGGTGGGGCCCCGAGCCTGGGAAGTGTGTGTGTGTGTGTGTGTGTGTGTGTGTGTGTGTCTTAGCAGAGCAAGGAGTGGGAGGACCCCAACTGGTATTGTGTGTGGTGTCAGGTACACAGGACAGCCCCGTGGAAAGGGCCCTCCATGCAGTGTGTAGTGTGAGGTAGGAGGGTCACCAGGCTCTGGGTATTCATGAGAAGTGGCTCCTCCTGTATCACTCTAGAGACAACTTTGAACTTGGGAGGGTAGTGAGTATGGGGAAGAGGGGAGCCTGGGTTATGCTGAGCCACAGGCCCTCATAGTCTGCTGAGCCTGTGGCTTATGTGGACATGAGGTAGGTTAGGGTCACTGACTGACACAGAGTGTGGAGCAGCTGAGAGGTGTGGCAGGGAGGCACAATGCTGGGTGCCTTATTCCTCGGGTGGGACTTCCCATGATGGGTGATGGCCAGTGATGGGGGTGACAGGGAGGTGGGGCTCAGGCAGGATTGGCCCTATTACCGAGTGAAGGATGCGGAGACTTGCAGCATGCCGCAGAACAGTTGACAGAGGGTGTGACTTGAGTGAGCGGGAGTAGGGACAAGGTGAGAGGTGGGCACCTAGTGGGCACCTATGCTGTCCACGTGGAGGACTGAGGGACGGAGACCAACGGTCAGAGCAGCCTTTTAGAGGAGCTCACGACAGCAATGGAGTGGCCCACGGGGCTCTGGCCAAGGTGCTGGGCCAGCCTGCTGCCCAGCTCAGGGGTAGCCTTGACTCCCCAGTCTTTTCCTCTTGCTTCTCTGTGCACCCCTGGCCAGCAGGCTGGGAGAAGAGGGTTATTGTTCTCTTATGCCAGGACCCCCCAAATTTCTTCCTATTTGGATATCCTGAGGTCAAGTCCTGAGAAGGCCTTGCCTTTGCCTCTGCATATTCATTCTTAGGAAAGAGCCCAGCAGGCCTGGGGAATGTAAGGAAGGTGTCCCTCCTGGCTACCATACTCCACTCTATGGTCTGAAAATGTCCAGGCCTCTTACCCTGTAATATGTCCAGCAGAGCGTGGGGACACCTTGGCTACCAGTGTGCATTTACTGGGTGCATCACTGGGTGTATCCCTACTGTGAGCCATGTACCCTCCTCAGCTGTCACTGTTTCCCCTGACACACTGTGTGTCTCTCTCCTACTCCCCACCACCAAGCCTTCAGCCTACCTCACCTCCACATGTCACCTACTGGAGAGAGGTTGGATTCCTGGTGCATACCCACCCCTCTGAGTCTCTGAGGACCTGTCCTTGGTGGCCTATAACCTTGGTGGTTTGGGGGTTCTGCTGTCCTTGCTGTTGGTACTGACTAGTGTTTGCTCATCTGAAGTGAACTCTGAGGCCTGTGGTTTGTTTTGCAGATCAAGCCGGTGGTACATTGTGATATCAACGTGCCTTCCAGGTGGCAGACACAGAGCAGGACATCCCGGTACATAAAGTGAGTTCATTGTCATGAGCGCCAAACCTGAGCCTGTCCTGGCTCCTCACAGGCAATGCTCTCCAGCTGGGCCACCTATTCTCAGCCAGTGCCTCACTTCCTCTTCGGCTTCCTCTCCTCCTCCGTCTTTGTCTCTCTGGTCACATACCACCTCTCTGTGGTCAGCCTTCAAGTTGTCCTTCTCTGAGGATGCTGTCCAGTTGGGGTGCTGTCCTCTGCAGCAGTTTCCATGAGGTGAAAAAGCGGTGAGAGAGAGAGAGAGAGAAGGGAATGGCCCAGGGAGGCAAGCTTTGCCTCTCCCACCTATCTGCAAAGTCTCTAGGGCTGTGTCTTGGATGTCCCCCGCTGTCAGCTTCCAGAAGGGAGTCATTGAGAAACACAAGTCAGAGGTTCCCACTCTGCCTCTTGAAAATACCGGGTCTCTAAAGAGCCAGGCTCTCAAGCAGTAGGTGCCTTTCTTGGACCTGTAATGTGCAGAGAACGGATAAGTACATGGTTAGTCTAAAACAAAAGCACCAGGAGTTTGGCAAGACACTGGGTAGAGACACTTGCCCACAGGTCTAATAACTTGAGTTCAACCTCTGGAAACTATAAGGTGCCAGAAAAGAATTGATTTCTGGGAGATTGTCCCTTGATCTCCACATTGGTTCTATACTCACACATTCATACATACATCTGCAAATACACACACACACACACACACACACACACACACACACACACGTCCCACAAATGCAATTTAAAAGTATTTGAAAAGTACCAGGGCGTCTCTGAAATGATAGAAGTCCCAGTGTTTCTCTGTTTTGCAGACACCATCTTTTCTATAGACCATGCCACACTCTTACGGAACATAACTGGTTTGTGAGTCCTGGTTAATGAAGACCCATACATCTCTGTAGTGCAGCTTTGGGCCATGGTCCAGGAGATCGGTGACTCTTGCAGAAGATGTGTTTTACCTCCTCATAGGAATGCTAGGAAGTTCCACTAGATGGACCCAAATAGCCATCTAAAGGCAGCGTCCTTCCACTACGGAAAAAGCCGATCATATTGGCCGGGAGAGCTTGCGATTGTGAAAGCAAGTGGAAGTTAGGGAGAGGTTCTGTGTCTGGTGCTCTGTGTCAGGCATTCAGGGTAGGAAGGATTTTGACCTTCCCTTGGAATGGAATGGCAGGGCTGACATCACTTGTGGAGTGTGGCTTTTGTTCTGTGGAGGGACAGCCTGGAGCTCCTTGGTGGGACAGGGGGGGCACCACATAGATGGTTGTGACCATAGAAGTGTGAAGTCACCCAATTGGAGGCTGAGGCTCAGAGGTGGGACCTGGTTCTGGTCTTCACCATGGAACCCGTGATTCCCACTCTGCAAGGACATCCTTCGCCTATGCTGCTCTCTAGTAGGGTGCCCTCTCTCTATTAGCTTCATGTGGAGAAGTAAAGAATAGTGTGTGTATCGGGGGGTGGGGCTCAGAGAATTTTATTTCCATTGTTTCTTAGAAGTGAACTAGAGAAAAGTTTACAAATCCTGGGAATGGTTTCCCAGAGACTCCTTACTCCCTGTGGGAGAGTGAGGTGAGGTCATTGGAACTGGAGGGTAGCAGGCAGATATTTGGTCTGTTGGTGAGCAAGAGAAGGCAGGGGACAAAAGGTGATAATTAAGACCATGCCCCAGAACATGGGTAGAAGTTGGCTGTAGCAGCATCACATCTGCTGCATAGCTCTCAGGGTAGTGGTCTGCCTCGGGCCATTGCTAGCTGCCGAGGCTCTTAGTAGAGCCTCAGGTTGAAAAGTTCATCGGGAGTCTCTTCCCATCTCACCAGCACTTCAATTTTTAGTTGTGAGACCCAGACCTGAAGTTTAACATTAGTGTATGCCATGAGTGGAATCATGCAGAATCCCACCTGAATTCAGTTCATTGACCAATGTGGTCCTCTCCCCTGGAAGTGGTGATGGTGTACACAAGTAGGCAGCTTGGGTGACTTTGGGCCTGGAGGTATTTGGGCAGAAAAGTGTTTAGGAAACACTTGGAAGATAGTCAGAGTAGAATGATAGTCTTTGCTGTTGGTCATGGGAGAAAGCCATCTGTCCCCGTGGAGGAAGAGGCAGGGGAACAGCTCCCCTTGGCCTGCACCACATCACAGGTTTTGCTGAGAATGTGTTTGTGGTAGAAGTGAGGATAACTGCCGGTCAAGATAAAAGTTGATGAGTCCAGAACCATTGTTTTCTCCCTCCTACAGTGAGGACTCGAGCTGTGTAAATGATACTTGGAGGCCATCCAGTGGTCATCTGAGCAGACTAAACATCTGGCCTTTCCCTGTCCAATTCCTTCCAAGTGCCAGGTTGTTACTTAGGCCGTTAGGCCCCTCCATGCATCATTGGGAAGCATTACAGTGATGGTGTCTTTCCCAAGGGAAAAGGGGTGTCTCACCAGTGCCTGGGAATTGAAGTGGGACCCAGGGTTTAGTCCCATGCTTGGAAGCCATTTGGAGTCCTCATGAACTGGGGAAGAGACTTTGAACATACCTATTGGTGTATCGACTGCGGTTGTGAATTGTTAAAAATTATACTAGGTTTCCAGTTTTGGAAGTGGGGAAGCTGAGACCAAAGCATGAACATCTCAAGTTCTTTGTACTATATGCTCTACTGTGTGTGTGTGTGTGTGTGTGTGTGTGTGTGTGTGTATGTGTGTGTGTGTGTATGAGTGTGTATTCTCACGTGTGTAGGTATGTGTGCACATGTGTTCACCAACCTGTGGAGGCCAAAGGACAGATTTTGTTATCATTCAGTGGCCACACTCCATTTGTTTTTGAGATAGTCTCTCACTGGCATGGAACTTGCCGAGCAGGCTACTTCCCAGGAGACTTGGCCAGTGAGGCCCCAGGGATCTGATTCTCTCCTCCTCCCCAGGGTTGGGATCACACTTGTACACCATCACACCTGGCTCTTTCCTTTTAAATATATGGATTCCAGGGATCAAACTGAGGTTCTTATGCTTGCAAGACACGCACTTGCTGCCTGAGCCGTCTTCCTAGACCTTCCCACTTTTTTTTGTATGTTTGGTATTAGTGCATGTATGCATGTTCACATAGATGTGAGTACACATGTGTGCATGTGTATGTTGAGGCCAGAGACTGGCATCCACGGAGGCAGGGTCACTCACTGAACTTTGGGCGTGCTGATTTTTATCCCTGTCTTTGATTTCCAGAGGTTGGGGCTATGGCGGCTGCTAAGCCTTCCCAGCTTTTAGGCGGGCACTAGGGACCCAAACTTGGTCCTCACACTTGCCAAGCCAGTGCTTTATTTGTTGAGATACCTTCTTAGACCCGTTAATCTTCTTCTCCCCCTTTAATCACTCCAGTTTGCTCAGATGATAGCAGAGCTTCTAGAAAGTGTGCTACCGGAGTCTGTTTGTGACTGGTGTATCCACTGCAGTTGTGAATTGTTCAAAAATATACTAGGTTTCCAGTTTTAGAAGTGGGGAAGCTGAGACCAAAGAGAACAGGAAGTCCAGCTGTCCACCTGCTTCAATCTGACTCCAGCACTCTACTGCCCCATACATTTGCTAAGTGTACCGGGTCAGGGACGACCAAGAGCCTGGTGGAAATTTATTCCTCATGACCTCACTGTCCAGCAAGGAATGAGGGGTTACAGGAAGGATGAGACAGTTCTAGAGACCATGGCTTTGACTTTGGTATTGAAGGACTTTCCAATTCAACCCAGCTTGCAATTTGAATTGGTTCTTGGGTAAAAGTGTGTAACATGAATTGCTAAACGGTCTTATTAATAAAAAACACGGAGCCAGATATTGGGGTAAATTCTGAAATATCAGAGGAATAGGACAAGCCAAAGCCAATCTCACCTTACTGACCTTCAGTCTCCAAAGAAACCTACTTCCTGTATACCCACACATATATTCCTTTCTGTTCTCCTCATTCATTTACTCTCCACCCAGCTACATCACTTCCTCTTCCTGCCCAGCTCTGTCACTTCCTGTCTGTCTGTACAGACCTCCAGACCTTTATGGTTAACTAGAGCTGAAATTTAAGATGTGTGCCACCATGCCTGGCTTTGTTCCCAGTGTGGCCTTGAACTCCCAAGTGATAGGATTAAAGGCGTGTGCTACCATTGCCTGACTTCAATGTCTAATACAGTGGCTGGCTTTTTCCTCTGATCCTCAGATAAACTTTATTGGGGTACACAGATAATACATCACCACATAAGTGTTTGCTTTATCAGTAGATTGAGGGAGGAAAGAGGCAGCCAGCCCAAAGTGTGAGGTGATACCCATGGCTCTCCCTAACACAACAGAATTTGGCTACCTTAGCATAATGGTGGCAACAGGAATAAACATGGCCCTAGCTTTCTTGCAGCTGTGGCCATCAATCTTTCTGAGAAGGGAGATATGTCATAGAAAGGATGCTTAGTCAGAAGAACTCTCTTGGGGTTGGAGTCAGAAGGACTTGGCTTTCCACTGAGCCTCTGTGACTAGGGAAGCCACTGGCCTCTGTTTCTTTAGCTGGGTCCCAGAGTTGTGGTATTTGTTTTACTGAGTTACTGGAAAGTTTGAGACTTTATAACGTATCTTTATAACATACATGGGAAAGTATGCAGTAAACGGCAGCTACCATCATCACTTGCTGGCTAAAATCCACATACTGCTCCATCTAGATCCATATGCTATTTCCCAGCTTCCAAAATTTAGAGTATTTTCCTTTCCTCTATTGCTGGAAAGTCTAAATGTAGCATAGTAGGTAGTGTGCTGACTAAGCAATGTGTGCCTTTCCTTACCTACTCCAGAATTACTTTTTATAAATGTTCTATATTTTACAGAGAGAGTGTACAGTTGTAAAAGATACCAACAAAGCAAATCTCCCTCCCATCTTTCATCCCAAGTTCTCTGGTGACTTCCCTAGCAGTGACAGACAACTGCTCTGTGTCCAGGCAGTCACCTGTATGTACACTGTGGATGCCTTCACTGCTTTTTATATGTAGTTATCCAGGAGATAGTTTCTTATCAGCATTTATCAATATGTCATGCCTGGTGAGACAGCTATATTGTCTTGAAGTCCATGAGCACCATCACCATGTATTTCACCATGGTAGGATTTAATGTGTGGCTGTCTGTCACCTATTCATGGAGGACTTCTGGAAACTGTGGGTATTTAGATAAGGCTGGCTGTGCTGCTCCCTAGAGCACTGGGGGGAGACTGACAGTTGGGTCCCTGGACAACCTTGGCTCTACAAGGCATCTGGATTCCCTGAAGGTCCCTGCTCAACTTCAGAGTGATTTGTTAGTCTCTCATTTGAACTTGGAATTCCCTAACTTAAGGTCTGGAGATTATATGTATTTCTTTACCTTAAACATCTTATTTGCTTATGAAAAATGTGGGAATCTAAAATCAAAGGCTCAAACTCCCCAGGTATGCACTCCCGAAGAACAACCACTGGTAGCCTCGAGGCACATAGATGCATGTGCTTTCCTCCTGAAGCTTAATGCTGCTTTTAATTTAATTATTTTTAATGCATTCACTATATTTGGTCACAAATCCTTGGTAAATGCAAATGCAAACATGAATCATTTTGGGTAGCTGTGTAACTTAGTGTATTGCAGTATCATGATTTAACTGTAGCTCTCTGACCAGACATTTAGGCCTTTGAATCTTTGTTTTTTTTTTAAACAGTGATAGTGTGAGAGAGATCTTCACACATAAAGTCTGTGTCCGAATTTCTGTGAGGTGGATTTCATGGCAGGGAGTGATGGGGTCTGTGGGTCTTACGTTGATTTCGCTTGTTATGCTATCCCACATTGTTCATGTTCAGCTATGTGGGTGGTGTGTGGACGTGCCTATTCTCAACACTCAGGTGATGACTGCCTATGGGAACCTCAAAGGTTAGGGGACTGGAGAGATGGCTCAGCTGATACAGTACTTGCTTTGCAAGCATGAATTTGGTCCCCAGAACCCATGGTGGTCAGCACTTGTAATTCCAGCACTAAAGACGAGGGGATGATGGAGTACTAAGGCTCATTGGCCAACCGACCTAACCTCCTTGGAGAGTTCCAGGCTCTGTTTCAAGAACCAGCTGGACGTGTTCAGCTGAGGTTGTCCTTTGGCCAACACACACACACACACACACACACACACACACACACACACACACGCAACCTTAAAAATGTAGGCAAAATATAACAAGCTTGTGTTAAAATACTTTATTTTTGTTAATCTGTATTGAGAAAGATTTTTTTTAATTAAATTGATTCATTTATTTTACATCCCAATGGAAGTTCCCCTCCCTCCTCTCCTCTCATTCCCTCCTCCCGCCTCCTCTTTATCCCTCCCAATCCACTTCTGTTTCTGTTCAGAAAGGGGCAGGCCTCCCATGGGTGTCAATAAAGCATGGCATATCAAGGTGAGGCAGGACTAAGCTCCTCCCCTCGTATTAAGGCTTGGTAAGGCAACCCAGTATGAGGAATAGGTTTCCAAAAGCCAGCCCAAGTGTCAGGGACAGGTCCCACTCCCACAAATAGACTAAGCTATACAACTGTCACATTTATATAGAGGACTTAGGTGGGTCCCATGTGGGCTCCCTAACTTTCAGTCTAGATTCTGCGAGTTCCTATGAGCCCAGGTTAGTTGTCTCTGTGGGTTCCTCTTGTGTAGAAAGGTTTTTGACATAATCATTTGCAGTCATTGGGAACACTGTGTGGACTCTTCATTGTCTGCTCCATTTTTTTTCTTCAAGGCAGTGTTTTAAATTCCCAAGAAGCTGAAGTCTGGAGCTGGCTGGCTGCAAGTCTCTCTTGCCTCAAAGCTTTAGTGGAGGAAGCAGATTCTGTCTTCTGGGACAACACATTCAACCAGTGTTTATAGTGTGTCTGAGAAGAAGATACATTTACTATAGTTTAAGTTATTCACATTTAAGGGAAAATAATCCAAATAAACAACAGTAAATAACACAAAGAAACTTGCAAGTCAGAGTTCTACAACTGAACTCACACACTGTTAAAGAAAACATAAGCTAAAAGAAATAAGCCTTGTATGCTATACTTTTTTTTTGGAAACAGATTCTTTCTATGTGGTCCAGGTTGGCCTAGAACATAGGATATTCCAGCCTCAGCTTCCCATGTGCTGGGATTAGAAGTGTGTACCACCATACATGGTCTATTTTACCCCATTTTAAATGAAAATTATGAGATTTTGAAACTATATTCCAGGGGTGGTGATTCCTGGGGCATAGCAAATAAAATAGGAGCTTTGGCTGAGTTTTGAAGAGGTTCTCACTACACCTTTCCACACACAGCAATAGTGAACTAAGCCTATTGGGGTCATATTGCTGCTTGAAGACTGGGGGTGAGGTCAGGTGTTTTGCCAACTGTCCAGAGGATCATGCATCATTTCCACTGGGTGTTTCTCTAGGCTCTGTGACAAGGGACATGACTGTATTTTCCAGATATAATTCTCCCTTTCATTTTCCAGCTGGACACTATTTTCTTCTAATGTAACCTCCATAGGAAACATAACATTTTTAAGAAGTAGAATTTTGTCCCACTCATTTGTGTACCTTTAGCTATATGGAAAGGTACTTTCTGAGCTGTGGACAGATCTCGGTTGTTACAGTGTGGTCTCACATGCATGAAGCCCTGGGATCCATCCCTAGCAGTGCATAAACCGGAAGCGTATGCCTGTAATCTCAGCCCTTGGGAGGTGGAGGCAGGAGTAACAGAAGGGCAAAGTCATCCTCAGCTGCATAGTGAGCTTGAGACCAGCCTGCTGGGCTGCGTGAGCCCCTGTCACAATGCAATGCAAAAACAGTGCTTTCCTAACACCATTTTTACGTCAGCAGACTTGAAGACTGTACTGTAGGACTTGGTGTAGTGTTAAGGGTGGTTCAGTGCATTAGAATATTTTTGCATTTCTGTAAATACACCTATGTTTTGTTTTCTTTGAGTTTTCCGTGTTTCCCCCTTTGATTTTAAGGTAGTAATGATGCTTTTTTCTTCTTATCCCTTCAGTGTTTTCACAAATGGAAGAATATTCATCCCACCTATAAAAATTATTATACCCAAATTCAGCCTGTCAGATTGGAATAGTGTGCTGGCCATCATTGGAGAAAAAGTCTTCCCTCTGGGAGGCGTTCGAAAGTAAGGCACTCTCAGGTGGGCAGTCAGGAGGGGACTGGAGGGGAGAACTGGGTGTCCCCCCTTTACTTTAAGCTGGTTTCATGAATCTATTAACAAACATCGAGCACTGGGCATGAGCTCTGTGCAGGGGCCACAGCATCTGAAGGAAGGGCCTCCGGTGGGATGGCTCAATGGGTAACGTGTTTGCCAGGCATGCTTAGTGCGCTGAGTTTGGTCCCTGGAACCTCTGTGAGGGTGGTAGGACAGAGCTGACTCCACGAAGTTGGCCCCTGACTTCCCAATGCACCTTAGCAATGTGCGCCCCTCACTGCGCACACAGTATCAACAAACGACAAAGAACCATGCAACCCAGAACCCCCACTTGAGCCGCAGTTGGAGGAGGCACTGCAGTCCTTGGTGGCCTGTAGAAGCTGGGGGACCACATGGGGGATCAGCCATGAAGGCAAAACTCAGCAGACGAGTGAGGAAGTTTTGCTTCTACAGGGCAAAAGGGTTCAAAGGAGTCAGCCCAGAATCACAGCCTCTCATCGGGGCTTTAGGGTCAAGTCTGTCTCCCGCCATCTGTATCTTTGTGGCTGTAAGAACACCCACTTCTTTGGTATCTTTTTCTTCATCTGGAAAGTGATATTAGTGTTTTCTAAAAGTCGGCATACATGCTCAGCACATCATTCAGTGTGTGGCATGTTGTATGTGATGACAGAGGAGCAGCTGTGACAGAAGGTAAAGACTGGGTAGGTATGGTGCATGGGGAAAGGACGTCACCTGTCACTGTAGGAGGCATATTGTCTTGGTTGTTCATGTTTGTGTTTTTTGGGCTGGGATCTAGGCATCTGGAGTGATGATGTTTGAGGGATTTGTTGGTGTAGATATCTGGTCTCATCTTTGTTGGGTGGGTGTTCCATTCTTCGGTTGGTATTGCCCAATCTGGATCCTAGCCAAGTAGGGTGGCTGTGGGGTCCCTGGGTTCTAGCCAAGTGTGTTGGGTATGGGGGTTCTTGTAGAGAGCTGTTCTGTAGGTTGGGGTGGGTGAGTCACATAGAAATGGAGATAGTTTAGAAGGAGATGCTGAGAAGGGAGGTGGGGAAGAACTAAGGGGACCCTGGGTCAAGAGCAAGAGGCCAAGTCCCAAGGGAATGGAGATGGGCTGGGAATGGGTCTCCTGTGGGCAGGTTGCTGCAGGACTAAGGGTAAGTCTGAAGAGGCTTGAATGGAGGGCAGGAAGAAGGATGAAGGTCTCTATCAAAGTCCCAGCCTCCTATGGCAGTTGTGTGTCTCTGGTAGAGAAAAATTCTGCAGATTGGTGGGTCACAGAGAACTGGAGATGGGCTGGGAGGAAAGACTGAAGGGGGCCGTGGGAAAGAACTAGGGGAACCCTGAGTCCTCCTCACCAGGGGGGCCAACTACACCTTCATTTTGAGAAAGTAGTTGAATTGGCTGTTAATTGGTGAAGCAAAAGATTAGAGACATTTAGAGATATTTATTAACACCCCCCCCCCCCGTGTGTGTGTGTGTGTGCGCGCGCGCGCGCACATGTAGGTCAGAGATCAACTTCAGGTTTCATTATTGGGAACCATTGCCTTGTTTCCTGAGACAGGGTCTCTCAAGATCCCAAGGATCGATGGTCAACCAGCCCTTCTTTCTTAATGGTCTCGTTGGTTTCACTCTAGAGCTTTTTGTCCCATTGCTTTGGGGTCTGTGGTGAGGCACCACATTACGGTAGAAGTACATATCTGAAGATGTTGTTGACTTCAGGAAGCAGCAGAGAAGGGGCTGGGGTCCTAATACCCCTTCAAGGGCTGGACTCTATTAGCTCAGCTTCTTTGTACCTGCTCTACCTCCTAAAGGTCCATCACCTCCCAGTAGTGCCATGGGCTGTCACCTACACTTGGATTTTCAGAAGACAAGCAGACTGAGTATTTATCTTCAGAGGTTGTGAGGACCCTTGACTGGAAGGGGTAGTCACTTCCATTTGTGTAGTTCTTCTTCATTGTCTTATGTGTAACAGGCTGACAGTGGAATGAATTGGATCTTTTCTTAAATTAACCAGACAGTGAATACTTGCCCAAGAGTACTAAATGGAGTCATTGGGTCATTATAAGAAGGCCCATTATTTGCTAACAAATGCTGATTTCTTTCTAAAGCATTGCTACAACAATGTAAGCCAATTTGTATTAATTTTAGCTGCTACTGGTTAAAATTAATTGAATACCAACCAAGAGCTGATCATGTTCTCAAGACCCTCTGAGGACTTGTGCATAATGAAAAATACACTTTAATTAAAGCGCTCTAAGTGGAAAGTATGCAGTTCAGGAAAAGCAGCTTCCACAGGCTTCCTGCCTTGCTCTGCATGCTCGCTGGAGAGTGCAGTTTCTCAGGTATTCGACATGCTGGTCATTATCACAGGTGAAAAAGTGCCCCATGTACTGGGCTGCCATTTCCCAAATCCTCTCTCCTGTGTTCACAGATTGTTTACGATGGATGGGCATCTTTTGGACAACTCAAAGGATTTGCAAGACAATTATTTTTATGTTGCTGCAGGACTGGAGACTTTCAAATCTCTTCCTTACTGGAAGTCCCCACGGGTCCCCAGTGAGGTCCAGCAGTGAGTACAACTTGTACCTTTCCTTTAAATTAAAAACAGTCTGACCATCCATCCACCCAACCACCCACCCATCATATCTATCTATCTATCTATCTATCTATCTATCTATCTATCTATCTATCTATCTATCTATCTATCTTTGTTTCTTTCTTTCTATCATCTATCTATCTATCTATCTATCTATCTATCTATCTATCTATCTATCTATCTATGATCTATCTATCTATCTATCTATCTATCTATCTATCTATCTATCTATCTATCTATCTAGGGGGTGCATGCCATGTCATTCATTGGGAGTGTGGGAGTCAGTTCTCTCCTTCTACACTGTGGGCTCTGGGAATCTAACTCAGGTTGTCAGGTAAAGTAGTCATTATCAAGTGTAAGAGCTAGTTAGTAATAAGCCTGAGCTACCAGCTGAGCTTTATAAGTCATACTAAGCCTCCAAGTCAATTATTTGGGAAGCAGCTGCTGGGTATTTGGGAACAGGCAGGCAGGGGAGAAACTTCTGCCTATATCCAGGCTCACTGTCAAGTGTCTTTACCTGCTGAGCCATCTCCCTGGTCTCTGTGCCTTTCCATTTGAGTGTTGTTGATATTTGTCTCTCATTTCCAAGTCCTTCTGATTACTATTCAGTAGTAAAACTTGATGTGATAGCTGTCTATCTATCTATCTATCTATCTATCTATCTATCTATCTATCTATCTATCTATCTATCTATCTATCTATCTATATCTATCTATCTATTGTCTGTCTGTCATCTATCTATCTATCTATCTATCTATCTATCTATCTATCTATCTATCTATCTATCTATCTATCTATCTATCTATCATCTATCTATCTATCTATCT